GCCCCGTGCGACTCCTCCTCGCAGCAGGCGGGACTGGCCCGCGTGCCGCCCCCACCCCACCCTTGGGAAGCCTGGCTCACGGGCGGAGCGCTAGCCAACAAGGCGGGTGGAGCCTGTGGCCGGATCCCGGGGCCAATCGCGCGGTGGCGGGGGAGGAGCCCCAGAGGGGAAAAAGAAAGTGCGGCGGAAAGTAAGAGGCTTGTCGGGGGGACGGCTGCCAGGATCTGGGTCTCCTGGTCTCAGCTTGGACCCGGGATCGGAAAGAGACAGTGGCCGGCCACCCTGCACCCATCCCGTCGCTGTCGCGGAGCCCTCTCGGCTGGCCCAGGAAGGTGAGTCTCGCGTTGCAGGGAGGACTGGGTTGGAATGGCCAGCCACAGTAACTCGGGGTAGTAGGATTTTTATAGATAAGCTCCTACAACCCTTCTGTTTCACAGACGGGAAAACTGAGACACAGGGCCAGGAGAAGCTACGCTAACCCCTCTAACACCACTAGTTAGTGCGGCGGTCGGGATTCGAACTCAACAACCCAAAACCCTGTCTTCGGTATCGCAGTCGTGGAACAGCTGTCCGTGGCTGTGTGTGGGTTCTCAGCCCCTTTGAGAGATCGCTACACCAGCTTCCCAGCGCCAAGGGCTCTCTGGAGCGCGCTGTCAGCGTGAGGCGAGCAGGAGGCTGTGTCCCAGAACACCCACTCCATCACGTCGCTAGCAGCCCCAGCAGTGACAGCCTAGGGAGAGGCTGCCAGCAGCCTTGCTAGTGCCTTTCCTGACCTGCTTTTTTTTTTCTTCCCGAGCAAGGCTGGTCTCTACCAAGGAGCCCATGAGTTAGGATAGAGCCAGGTGCTGGTCACCACTCTCCCAGCCTTGGAGGCAGCAGGAAAGATTCTCCCTGGGGGACACAGAATACCCGTCCTTTTAGGAACAGCTGACTTCATGGAACCTGGAGGTGCCTTCTACCTCTAAGTCCTGATTGGGAATAAGGAAGCCGAGTTCAAGAGAAAACCATAACCATGAAAGCAAACTTCTGCTGCTTCCTTTAGTTCACCCCATCTCCTCCTTCCCTCAACACACTGACTGTGAGATTATGAATCAGGGCCCACGAGAAACCTTAAAATGCATTGCAGGGTAGATTCCTGGTTAGCAATGGCCTGAAAAGGTCCCTTTTCTGTCTGTGCCTGTGTTAGCTGTGTGAGCTTAGGCAGTTTAGCCCACCCTTCCCAGCCTATGTCAAGACGCCAGAGCACTCTCTGTGGTTCCTCGGGGTAGTTGGGAGGACGGAGAAGAACAAGTGACATGTTCGGAGTGGTATCTGGCCTGGTAACAATAAATATTGTAGGGTCTCGAGGGTCTTGAGAAATGTGATTTCCTACTACTTTGGAGTGACCTTTTTTTTTTAAACCTGTAAATAGAATGATATTTTCCCCTTTTAAAGTTTGAATATTGTTTTTTTCAAAAAAATTGTGCATTTATTTGTATGTTCATTCATGTGCATGCATGCATGCATGGGTGTGCACTCGTGTGTGTATGTGTGTGTGTGTGTATTGTGTGTGCGTGTGTATGCATGTGTGGGAAGGTCAGAGGACAGCTCTCAGGAATCTGACCTCTCTTTACACCAAGTGAATGGAACTTGTTTGGGGGCAGGTGACCTTACCAGAGGGCCTCAATAGTTCGTTCCGGTGCTTTCTGAATTTTATCTCCAGGTAGGCTTGTTTGTAAAATTGGCGTTTGAGCAATGCAAATTTCCTCCTCCTTTTTAGATCAAGCCTCCAACTTGTGAAATGCCTTGGTAGGAGGCATCGCAGGTTGGCAAAGAGGGTCTTGTATTTCAAAAGGGACTAGAAAAAAAAAAAAAGACAGGAGGCAGAAGCTTGAAGTTGTAGCAATGTCCTAGATGATGCCAGGCCTTCGATTCCTGTTCTTACGTCTATCTCACGACTTCATACTCTTGAGCTAATATCAGCAAGTAACAGAATTTTTATATATTCTTCAATGACCCTGCAGTCCAGTCTCTTCGGGATACTGATTTGCTTTATTTAACACAAACACATACATATGCTCACACGAGCCTTCCTGTCTTCCTTGTCTTTTAAAATTAAGCAGCTTCCGTAGACACACCTACACTACTTGCATGATAATTGATTTTATTTTGATCCATACAATTATTTACTACCATCTACTGGCCGTGCTGCAAGTCCCTGAAATGAGCGGTTAGCATTTCTAAGGGGCTGCCTCCTTCCACAGTCCTCAGCAATTGCATGCAATATTGATGAACTTCAGGGAAGGAGCGGGATCCTGCGTGAGAGAAGCTGAGTGTTTGGTGTTGGTCCCTCCCACACCAGGCGCTGCCACAGGACAGGGTCACATCTGTTTGTCGACTCTCCCTTCTGCTTGTATTATGATGACTTGACCAGGATATGTCTGAATGTGTGTCTGAGAAGCCAGTGACTTGTAGGGAAGAGGGAACTGTTCAAAAGAAGGTTAAACAAAGGGATGGGTTTTCAAGACTTTGAAAGCAAATCTCTTTTGGTTCCAGGTTTTTGAAGAAAGCATGTTGAGTTTTATCTTTCCTGATACATATTATTCATTGTTGTTACACCCAAACACTCCTCTCTCTCTCTCTCTCTCTCTCTCTCTCTCTCTCTCTCTCTCTCTCTGTGTGTGTGTGTGTGTGTGTGTGTGTGTGTGTAACTTTAAAATTTCCAGGTGTTTTCCACACGTATTATTTTCCTCATTGCATGCGATGACCCTTGGAGGTGCTCATGGCCAGCATATTACTAGTGGGAGGGCCTATGTTGTGGCAAAAGCTATTTGATTTTAAATTCTGGGTCTGTCCTGTTTTAACTTTCAGAGCTTCTGTTTTATCCAGTTCTTAAATGTCTAAAAAATGCCTATGCTATGGTTTCCTGTGACGATGAAGTTCAATGGTTACCATCAGGTACTTGCAGTCGAGAACTGCTCATTAAATAGCCCCTCTCTTAGCTTATCTCCATTTGTTGGAAAGAAAATTAAAGTGAGACTTACAGGAATAAGAGGTTTCCAGGGATCACAGAGTTAGTGAATTTCGGCCCCCGAAATACAGTTCACGCTTCTGAGTTCTCCTTCAGTGTCTTTCAGGCCCCTTCCCATCACACCCTGCCACCTCTCCAGTAGAACCTGAGCAAGTTATTTTCCAGTCTGAGACTGACCTTATTTGGCTGGTGATTTCAGGTCACCAAGTGGTTATTTCTTTGCAAAGAAAAGAGCTCTTCAACGTGGCTCTGTAGAGTTTGTGGCTTTGATCTCCTGTAGAGTTCCCACTGATGTGCGCTAGGGCAGCATTCCATTCTCATGTATTTGAGGGGCTGCAACCTCAGACTCAAGGAAGAAAAGTACTGTCAAGACATAGAGATCAGGATTATGTCTGGCTGATCTGTCTGTTCTGGGTGGCTTCTTCCTCCTGCCTTCCTGTAATTGCTTGGTGATTGGTATGATAGCTAAGGATGAAACGCCACAAGTAGCCTAGCACTTCTAGATCTCTCACTGCTTTCATAGAGCGGAATAAAGAGAACAGGATGTTTAATGCTTAATCTTTATTGTCAACTTGATAGGATGTAGAATCACTACTTAGATTTGTGAAACATCTCTCTCTCCCCCTATGTGTGTGTGTGTGTGTGTGTGTGTGTGTGTGTGTGTGTGTGTGTTTGTGTCCGTGTCCATGTGGTTCCGTGTCTGTGTCCATTCCATGTGTGTACATGTCCGTGTGTGTCCATGTTCGTGTGTGTGTGTGTGTGTGTGTGTGTGTGTGTGTGTGTGAGAGAGAGAGAGAGAGAGAGAGAGAGAGGACATTCCCAGAAAGGATTAATTGTGATGTGGGAGACTCACCTTGAATACAGACAACATCCCATAGGATGGAGACTTAGAGAGAATAAAAGGGTAAAAGGAAGCCCTATGCAGAACAGTGGCTTTTCCTTTTGTGTGCATGTGTCTCCTGGTTAGCCATGATGTAAACAGAAATCCTCTCCCATAGCCTCTCACCCCACCGAAGTTTTGTAGCCATCCAAAGGAAAACAGTCCCATGATTGGCCTGCATTTTCTCAACCAAAATCAACCCCTCCTCCATTGGGGAGTCTATGTTAGGTATGTTGGTGGTAACGGCAGAAAGTTAACCAACAAAGTATGCAGAAGCAGCATTTGGAGGGAACCGATGCTCAATACTCAGTATTATCACTAGCCATTGGTCTAGAGTTTCAGCCCTGTTTGTAGGAACTGATAGGTCCAGGTGCATAGAGAAGGATGGATGGAGTGGCTGAGGCCGTTTACCCATGGAGAGTCTTCCCGAATCAAGCCTATTTCCTTTGTAGCCTACAAGCAGCCTGGTTAATGCACTTCTAGAAGTGTTTGGCCAGTTGGGAGCCTGTGTCAGCCCTTGTCCCAGCGTAGGCGCTTAGCTTCATCTTCTCGGGTAGAGTTAGGAAGGCAAAGTATGACTGGAGGAAATCAGAGAAGGAGGCAGAGGGAAAGCTAAAAGATTACCTTCAGCACACACAGGGCTTCAGTTGTTGCTCAGCTTCATCAAGCCTTTGCTGGTGGCACTGATGTAGGATCTAGTGAGTCACTGTTGCCTTGACTATGAAATATTAAAGAGAGCCACCTACTGTGCTCTTTGCCCATTTTCAAAATTGTTCTGTAGGGGGAAAGGAAAAGAAAAACACCCAAGAACAAGAAGGTTGCAGAACACTTGGAGTTTGATACTTTGAAGCATGTATCCGGGTTAGCTGCTCATTGGTTTTTAATGTAGAATGTGTAATTTATTATGATGGAATGGTGGGCAGGCTTTATCAGCCGTGAGTTCTAGAGTCTGGCAAATACCTGAAGCAGGTGATTCTAAAGGGATGCTCTTCAAATTTTAAAGCTCCTTAGTAGCTCCTTAGAAACAGTGCCTCAGGAGTACCCCCTTCTCTGTTCACTGCCTTCCTTTCTTTTATTTGCTTGCTGTTTGTCTGCTTGTTTGCTAGTTTTTTTGAGAAAGAAACTCGTTAGTCCAGACCAGGCTCAAATTTGCCTTGTTGCCAAAAATGACATCGAACTTCTGATCCTCTTTCCTCTTACCACTCCCAGCATGTTTTTTCATAGAAAGTATTCTATCAACACTAATTTTTCTGTTCATAATTTCTTCCATTTATCCATCTGATAAGTTACAGTCTTCATTATTTATCAGTTATCATTTATTGCCCTCTACTGGGATTTATGATACTGTCCTCCCCATGCTGTCTCATCTAAGCCTTGGGATGATTCTGTGTATTCTCATTTGAGGACATGGAGGCTCCTGGAGGCTGAGAAGCACAGCTCAT